ATTACCACATTGTCTTACACCAAAGCCAATATATAATTTTTTTAAACACACATATACGGGCCTTCGTCTGTCAAATGTGTTACCGATAAATAATTAATATTATTTATTATTCATTACTACCTGTTATAATTTATAATAAAACAACTATATTAATTTTCTAAATAATGAACGGTTATCAATATTTTAATCATGATCCCATGGGTGTATCAATTCGATTTACGTATTTACGTACATTTTAAAATAATTTACATTAATTAAAAAAAAAACATTATTTAAAATATTAAAATTAAAAAAATTGAGATGTGATTCGATTTTGGTTTTGAATTTAATACCGGTATCAAATTTTTTGCGGTTTCGGTTTTAAATTATAATACCGGTATCAAATTTTTTTTTGTTTTGGTTTTAGATTATAATACTGGTATTCAATTTTTTTCGGTTTTGGYTTTAGATTATAATACCGGTATCCAATTTTTTCGATTTCGGTTTTGACTTTAATACCGGTATCCAAATTTTTACTGTTTCGGTTTTAGATTACAATACCGGTATCCAATTTTTTTCGGTTTCGTTTTCGATTTTGATTTCGGTTTCGGTTTTTAACGGTTTATACCGATTTCTGAAACCGGTTTTGAAACCGGTTTCAAGCCCTGATTATTTTAGTTTTCTACATTCTTAAATATTTAAAATGAATAGTGCTGGATGCTGAAATTTACTTATCTACTTATCGTCAATTAGGTTTACTTAAACTATATACTACTAAGTTTGTTTGAATTAATAATATACGAGTTTCCGACCTTATAATATTGGTTAGATTTTCTCGTAATCATTTGTGATATTTTTATGTTTTTCACRCAACAGGATAAACTTTCTTACTTTAAGTACCTAGATCATAACAGGTGAAGTTTATCTTAAAACTAAACCTCGTAGCGGTCTATAAAATCTAGAATTAATAATGTTTAAAAGTGATGAATGTAAAACAGTTTTGTCATTGGTTTAGAGATTATGGAGGTAAGATAATGGCAGGTTAGTCCGTGTTTACAAGTGATCTAGTATAAACAATATGTTAACTATTATTTTTTTAAGTTTTCAACGCTTAAAACTGAATTATTATAAAAGATCTAAGATCTACAGAATTAAATATTTAACAGATTTCATTAAATAATTATTTGCATAATAAAGGTTTTTACTGTTTTTAGTCTCATGTAACTATGTAAGACATTATATTATGTAACTTAAAAAGAATTTCTCAGAGGTAAGTATTTTTACTTTTAAACCTTACCTATAAGTTATAATATTATTATAAATACACACCTTTATAACATAATATGTAGTTATTTACGATATGTGAGCGCTGAGACTTTCAATCTCTTAAACTTGAAATATACATAGGTAGGTGCTCATATTATATGCGTAAAGTAAACTAAACAACCTTAAAATTCCTTTGTAACCTTATAAACATCACAAAAATCAAAGCATTCCTTTTAAAGACAACAGAAGACGGTGGCCAAAGAAAATATGAATGAACCATGAAAAATTTCGTAATAAAACAAAATACTATTTCATGTTATACACTTCTATAATTTTTATACTAATATAATTCAAAATATATTTTTTAATCTTTTTCTGACTCTTGAGTCTAAGGTAATAAATATGTCGAGAGTCAGCTTTTCCAGTTAGGTGGAAACAGGCCAGACTTCTACTTCTGCATAAAGGTTAGGTTAGGTTAGGCTTAGGACAAGCCAGTCACTAACCCGTCTAGCTTTCGGCCTCTCTGCATGTTTGATACTATTGGTAAGGTTTTCGAGAGGATTCTTTTACTAAGGTTAAACGAGCACCTCGACAAGACGAGTGGACTCAGTGTCAATCAGTTAGGCTTCCGGAGGGGATGCTCCACCGAGGACGCTACAAACAAGGTCATTGATTTGGCAAAGTGGGCCAATCATGGTCTCTTGTACAAGCAGGAACTATGTATTCTGTTGGCACTAGATGTTCAAAACGCATTTAACTCCGTGCCATGGAATCACGTGGAATCTACGGTCATACATGAAAAGTCGTACACTTACTATAAGATCAGCTAATGAGACGAGCACCATCAGGCCAGTCACCGTAGGTGTCCCGCAGGGATCGGTCCTTGGCCCCACACTGTGGGACGTCTTCTATGATGACATCCTCAGGATGGAAGTATCGGAAGGGGTACAGCTTGACGGGTTCACCGATGATTTATCAATACTTGCAGCTGCACAGACATCAGATGCTCTGAATGGTGTGGTGAACCCCACGTTAGATGCTATCGATGCCTGGATGGGAGACCATGGACTTCAGTTAGCGCGACACAAGACTGAGACCATCATGGTGACAAAGAAGTTGGCGTACCAGGATCCAGTGCTGTTAGTAGGGGGGGGGCACTCAGTTTCTTTACTAAAGAATGTGCTGTAGTAATATGTGATAAATAGAAGTAAGCATATTTTGTAATGTAGGCCAGTGAAGCTAAATGTGCAGAGGCAGCTAAATTGTAAATTAGATATAAGGTTAGGTCGACTGGAGAGTCATGGTACGCGAGTACTACGATATACGTTGGATTTTTTTGATGTGTTTCTAAAAGGGTTTGTTTTTTTAAAGTATTTAATAAAGGGTTTTTTACTCATTGGATTGATTATTTATATTTGGTGTCACCTTGTACATTTGAGTCTGATCTGAAACCGATTAATTTATGGTCTTTGAGGACAAAGGTTTTTAAATTACGTTTTCTATCTATTATTAAATGCTAAATTGAAACCGGTTAGTTCATGGTCTTTTWGCCAAATAATTAGAAATTAAGCGTAACCTAAAGGTACATATACAACAGTGCGATACTTAGGACTTCATCTTAATCCACACTTAACCTTTAGTGGACCCTTTAAGACCGTTTCGGGTAAGGCCTCCAAGGCAGCTTTGGTTATAGGGCGACTTATGCCTAACCTTGGAGGGCCCTCCCAATCCAAGAGAGCGCTGCTAATGTCTGTAGTTAACAGCAGGCTGCTGTATGCCTCTTCGATATGGGCAGATAGAGCAACAAAGTACGCTATTTGTCGGAATCTTATGATTCGGTCTCAAAGGTTGGCAGCCCTTAGAGTGACGAGGGCGTACCGCACCATCTCTGCTGAAGCAGCTTTATTCCTGGCAGGTASCCCTCCGGGCGATCTTCTCGCTTTGGAACGCAAAAGAATTCGGGGCAAAATGGATGATAGAGTGGGCTCTAAGAATGAGATCCGGGAAGAGAAGCGTGGCATCCTGCTTGCAGCCTGGTCCATCAGGTGGAGGGACGGTAGGAAATGGAGCCTGGACGCGTAAGATCCTCCCGGATCTGATAAGATGGATGAGAAGACGTCCCAAAGATTTCACGTTCCACGTTACACAGGCTCTCAAGGGACATGGGTGCTTCAGGGACTATTTGCACCGGAGGAATCGCGCCCCTGATTCAGCTTGCCTCTACTGCCAGCATCCGACGGATACTGCAGAACACACCATTTTGTACTGCACTCATTGGAAACCAACGCGACTAGCAGTGAACAAGTTCGTAGGTAGCCGAAACATTACTCCAAGTGATGTACAGGACATGCTGTGTGGTCCCACTGACGTCCCGATTTGCATGAGCGAGCGAATAATGGCTGCCTCTCAACGCGCCACGCAAGCTTTTTATGAAATGGTCGAAGATATTCTTAGCTGCAAAGAGCAAGATGAGAGGCTAGCTGAGGCCGAAGCAAGAGCTGCTCCGTGAAAACAGCAGAACGGTATGCCAGGCCGGCGGGTGCGTGCGACACCGGGCTGAGAATAGGATCGTAAAACGGGATCATCATCATTTATCTATGTAACCAATTATGTTGTAGCAATTGCCAAAAAAAAAAAAAAAGGTCATCAACCAAAATATTAATATAATCACATATATTTAATTTATATAAAAGTATTTAATACAAAAAAAATGGAGTTAACATTACTATTTAGTGAATTATTATTGTTTATATAATTTTTTTTTTTTGTAAATACATATTTGATAAATGTCGCGGGCCGCAAAACTTTCCAAGGCGGGGCCTTGAGGCGCATGAGGCCCGCGGGCCGTGGGTTGGCCATCCCTGTTGTAGCATAATAAGGTGTTGTAATATGTATATTCGATGTTAAGTATTGTGATTAAATGTTTTAACGTTATTCATCAATAAATGATGGCAGCAGAGGAGTAGTATTGTGCAAACAAATCCTCCTATGCTGTCGGTTCTAACCAGGGGGAAAAAAAGTAATAAATATGTACTTAAGAATATTGGTGCGATCATTTTACATAAAGCCATCTAAATTATATTGTACTCAAACGTATATAGAGCAGAGAACTTAAACTACTTGTACCTACTATGTATAGTTTATTTAAATTAAATATTGCTTATATTTCAGAATGGGTTTTTCTGGGTAAATGGTGTAATGTGGTAAATCTCAAAAAATAATACTCAGAAATTACTGTGAATGCGAGGCTAATGTTTTATTTTGTAAATTACTTTACTTTGTAAAAAGTTACACAATGTAAAATTGGAATAACTAATTAATGCAAGATTTTAGTATTTCACAAAGTGTGTAAAAATCGTATCTACGTCACCAAGTATATAACTTTTCATGGAAAGATATGTTGTTACGAAATTGCTACGAAATATTAACTAACAATACATTTCAAATTTTTCATCGAACTTATATGTGGGAATTATATGAAATCAATAACTTGAAATATCTAAACATTAMAAATTAACACACATAATGCTTTTTACAATAAATAATAAATGTTACATATAGGGAACKGCCTGATAATATATTTTGAGCAGTGGAGTAGCCAGAAATTACCCGTGGGGGGGGGGGTTAATGACCTTTTCTTTGATCATCTCTTACATATATTGTTCAGTAGCGGTAAAACTAAATGCGCTAAATGAATAATACATTTTTGATTAGCTGAAGCTGAAGCTGAATAATAATATTTATTTATGTATGTTAATATTAAACACGCAGTAGACACTTATTGACTTATTATAAACAAGTAAAAGTATAAAATAAAAAAACTTTTAATTGTTATACTAGTATTAATATATTTTTTCACACTATAAATTACAAGCTATAAATAGCAGTCTTATTTCCCTTGAGTCTTTTGCAAAGTCATTAATTTCACGATGAATATTTATTAGTGGTAAACTATTTAACCTATTTTCTCCAATAGTATTTTTAAGGTATGTCTTATGTCTTTTTAATATAGAAAATTACCTTTTACTGCTTGCTGTAGTTACGGGAAGTGTAGCTAGTATTTGGAGAATTTTATAAGTATATGGAAAAATTAGTGAGTTAAATGCTATAAGAGCTTCTAACGCATTTTTTGGTTTTCCTGCTCCAACAAACTTTTGTGTCCATGTCAATACTACGCCTCATACATACACACTATAGACATAATAATATGTAATTCAGAGTAGATGTGGGATCGCTCGGTCGTCTGTGCGATAAGCACGCTTCCCACAGCCGTACATAGAAAATACTAAAATAATAATAATAATAAAAGTATTAAAATCATACAATAATAAAAAATTTTTTAAGGCCAAGGGGGGGTTGAACCTCTAACCCCCCTGGCTATGCCACTGATTTTGAGTAATGCGAACTGCACCGGAAAAGGTCAAAAGAAAGTAAAGGAAATATAATGTCTCTCTTTGCGATCATTATTGAGTCGGGTTGACAAAAAATAAAAATGCTTAAAAATAGTTTAGCATTTTTTTCAAAACAAATTACAGTTAAAAAAAGCTTGGTTCGAGAACATCATAATTTGATCGGTGATACAACAGTGATTATAATTTAATATAATATTATGTATATTATAATTAAAATGATATAATTATAATATTATTATGTTTGCTTCACTCCATGTCACCGGCAGTTATTGGTGATCACTGATCATCAAACTCGGTTCGTTCACAATAGGCTGAGCAAACCGTTTAAATTTGTGGTGTTGTGGTTGATGAGTTGGACGGGGTTAGACACGCGGAACACTAGCCGATGCGACGTGAGGATAATATTATTATTCTCGTTCTAAAGCTGATAATTAAATGCCGCCGAAACGACGTAGTTCTATAATAATAGTAATAATAATAATAGCAACAACCACAATGACAATGATGATAGTGATGACGACAATGATGATGTGTATAGTGTATAGCTATGATAATAATTATTATACGATTTTGTCTCCCGACGTTGATGTCGCGTGCGTGCGGTTTACGTCAAACAGGATTTGTCTGATAATCATTTGATTTAACACTCGGCGAGCGGATTATCTAATTATTTCGCAGGCACCTACCACACACCCTCTACCACCAATATAAAACAATACCTGACAGCGCTATTGCGAATGAGAGAGTGTGACCTCCGTTTMAAATTTCAAATACATAGGTATTAAAATTTATAAAAATGTTTCATGATTTGTTCAGCTGAATTTTCATGCTTTTTAAATTCACGTTTGACAGTGTATTATGTGTGTATTTGTCTGACGTCGATGAGTGGTGGTGAGAGAGGTGATGTAGAGGAATGGTGCTGAGAGAAACGTGGACGAATTTTCATTGTGAAAATAAGTTTATTTTGTGTGTAAAACACGTCATTCCAACGAGAGAGTATGTTTTATAATATAGCCAAACATATTTGAAAATATAATGAAAAGACAGTGACAATGTAAAATCATATTTAAGTAGGTATTTAATATATTTTTTTCTATCAAAAGACTAAGTTTTATCAATTAATAGTTATGTATCTCACGAAATATACTCAAAATTCATTTGTATATAGGACCATTAAATATAACACATATAGCACATATAGTTCAGTATATCGTTTTATTAATAATAATTTAATGAATAAATTGAAAATGAAATAAACTAATTCTATTTAATAATTTGAGAAAGTAATTATAAATGCATAAAATCTACACATTATATAAATATTTATTTTTATTCAATTTTACATGACAACAAAGTAAACAAAATCAACTGCTCTAGGTTTAGAATCAAAAAGAAACTGTATAAAAAATATGCCTAATTTAAGTGACAGAAAGATGGAACGTTTTGTAATTTAAGACAAAAAATATCTATCTATCCACTGTAATTGCAACTGATAATAATATAGAACTGATAATATTATTATAAGTAATTCTATCGATATCAATAATTAAGGGCGAACTTATAATTTTTATTTTATATATGTAAATATAGGTATGATATATATATATATATACGCATGATAGTGTATCTATATTTACATTTATAATTATTAATAAATAATTTTATTGTAATATAATAATATAATATATTATGTATTATGTATATGCAACTAAATGCACTTTAGTTAGTCATCACAGAAAATAAAATAGAAAACCCATTTTAATAAAATGTATTATTCAGTATCGATAAATAATATCTATTAATTATCACTTTATTAAAATATTTAGAACAAAGCTTACATGAACATAAGGTTTCGAAAATACTATCGAATGGCTTAAGATTGATCGTAACTGATAAATAATGAATAAAAACTTGTATGTATTAAAATATTTAGTTATTTTTCGTAATATAGTATAAAATTTATTTTTATTTGCAAATTATTTTGTATTTTTTTTTCTACTTGACATCATTTAAACGAGTAATACTACAGTCAAATTTTACTGAAAGATATACATATAATTACTACAATCACTAAAAATATGATTTGGTAAATTCCGTAAAATAGACTTCATGCCAAATGAAGAAAAGTTTTTAAAATAATTGCAAAAGTAGAAACTTCAAGAAATATAACTTCTTGCGTGGTAGAGAGAATATCAACAAAATCTTTTAATTCTACAGCGTTAATACACACGAATACACTCACAATAATTTAAATCTAAAAATTTCAATGAGGTTTGACTTTAATGCACCAACTGACTAGGAGTCATGMCCTAGTTATTTATTTTTAGTGACCATCGAAACGAACTACAGTGTGGTTATTCAAATTGAAATTTCCATTAGCCGAACGAAAAATATTTCAATTTGCCCATCCATAATATTATAAATATATCATAAATTATAACGGCGTTCCTATTAAAATCGAGTGGCATGTTATACTATACTAACCTACCTTTAATCAACAACGATTATTGCAGCATCAAAATAAAATCAATACCTGCACTTCATTGTTCTGCTGGAAATTGTTTTACCTACTTCACATGCTCATACGATGTACGAATTGATGCGTTGATTATTATACCTTACAGGTTTCGAGTTTAATTAATTTTGTTTTTTGTTTTAGACTAAAAATTTTCAAACATTCATTTGAAAAATGCGTAGTATTATACTTATACAACTAAAAAAAATCATATGATTATAAATTATAATATTTCAAGAAATTAAATAAAGAAAATTATAATTCAAATAATCTTGTTTTGTTTCATGTTAAGACAGAAAGATATTCAAACTGAAAAAAATACCAATTAGTAAAATATTTCATCTTCCATTACTCTATAAAAAAAAAATCATCCTTAATAGACTCATACATTCAGTTGATTAGACACATATTTAACTAAAAATTCACTGCCTAATCATCTTCTGATGACCTGAGAGAATTGTCTTCGCATTATTTTATCTAGAATTGGCTTTACTTTGTATTCTCTGGGTGAAGGAATTGTTATAAATATGTCTAAGTCAAACTTTCCAAAAACACGTCTAACCTTTTTTTATATATATACTG